TCTCTCTCTCTGTCAAAAATAAATAAACATTAAAAAAAAAATGAGTCGCCTGCTCTACCAACAGAGCCAACCAGGCGTCCCTATTTTTAGTTTTTTGAGGAACCTCTATACTATATTCCAGAATGGCTGCACTAATTTACATTCCCACCAACAGTGCATGAGGGTTCCTTTTTTCCCACACTCTTGCCAACACTTGTTATTTCTTGTCTTTTTGATACTAGCCGTTCTGATTGGTGTGAGGTAATATCTTGTGTGTTTTGTAGGATTTATTTGTTTATTTAGAGAGAGAGAATGAGAAAAGCACAAGTCGGGGAGAGGGGTAGAGGGGTAGAGAGAGAGAGAGAGAGATTGAAAGGGAGAATCCCAAGCAGGCTTCACATTTGGTGCAGAGCCCGGCACCGGGCTCAATCCCACGACCCTGGGATCACAACCCCAGCTGAAATCAAGAGTCAGACGCTCAACTGACTGAGCCACCCAAGTGCTCCTCATTGTGGTTTTGATTTGCATTTCTCTGATGATGAGTGATATGGAGCATCTTTTCATGTGTCTATTGGCCATCTGTATATAGACCATTGTTTTTAAAACTTTTGACTGAGACTTACAGTAGCAAATAGCACATTTGTATCACAAGCCAACACACGCATGTGTATGTACTTTTTTAATGAAAAAAGTTTTATGAATGATACTTACCTTTACTAAGTGTTATATATACTCTGATATTTTTCATTCCATTTAAAAATTTTTATTGCCCATTATGATTCACTCAATTGGTTTCATGACCTACTAATAGGTTGTCACTACAGTTAGCAAACCACCAGAGGAGGCAGTGGGGCCCACAGGGATGTCACTCACCAGTGCACACAGATTGAGATCTGTCTTTGGAGTGACCCCCTCTTGGTGCTTAGGCTTCGTCCTCTGCCGGCCTTCCTGTGACCTGGGAGTCAGGCCAGTGAGACCGCTTGGAGCCACAGGGATGCTAAAGGGTCAGTTTGTAGCCAGCACCCCACCCCTGGGCTTGCTGATGGGTAGACAGCCCTTCCCGTGCCCGCATTACCAGTGATATGAGCCAGGAGAGGCAGCTGTATTGTTGGGGAGAGAGCTGGGCTCTGGCATTAGACTGGGTACGGAGCCTTGCAGGGGACCACGGGTAAAGCTGAGGATGAGCCCCACACTACAGGGTGTACACTGGAGAGGCGGCTTGGCATACAGCAGGCGCTCAGCATGTTCCCGGGCCCTTCTCTCCGGCTCGGTGGTTTCCTTCTTGCACCAGCAGCCCCTCTACCGCTCCCATTCGCTTGTTTTCGTTTCCGAACTTCAGGAACATAGACGCTGATTGACCATGGTCTTTGGTTAAGACATACTGTCATCATTGGTCCACACACGGGCTGCTTTTACTTAGTGTTATTTTTCATTTGTGTGCATGTGTATGTGTGTATATGTTTGGTAAGTTTTGATATTTCAGACTTAAGAGGATAAGAATAGTTCAAGGAACCCCTACAAACCATTTGCCCAGGTTCAGCTATTTGCATTTTGCCCCATTTGCTTTATCAATCTCTTGCTATACGTACGTGGATTTTTTTTTTTAAGTTTTTTTTCATGTTTATTTTTGAGAGAGATGGAGTGTGAATGGGAGAGGGGCAGAGAGAGAGGGAGACACAGAATCCGAAGCAGGCTCCAGGCTCAGAGCTGTCAGCACAGGCCTGACACGTGGCTCGAACCCACGAACTGTGAGATCATGACCTGAGCCGAAGTCGGACGCTTAACTGGCTGAGCCACCCAGGCGCCCCATACACGGATATTATTTTTATGTATTTTATGTATTTTTATGTATTTTTTTTCCTGAACAATTTGAAATAAGTGGCAGACTTTCGACCTTTTGCAGTCAGATACATGTAAAACGGTATCACCAGGCCGTGATTTTTATTTCCTTAATAAGATTGGTTACTGGCAGCATTCTTATCTTCATTTCTTCTGATTGTATTACATGGTAGGTGACTTCTCCCTTATGAATCCTGAGAGTGAGCCTGTATGCCAGGAGAAACACACAGCTGGCCAGTAACTTGTTAAATAAGCTCCCCCAGGGACCTCTTTTCATTTGTTTGCTTTGTTTTTATATACAAGGAAATGCTACAGGTCATACGCATCCCCAGTGGGTGCTCCCAGGGTTTGAATATAAGGTGACAGAGTGAAGGGGCCTTGGGACTTTACAAGCACTCCCCTGATACTCTGCTTTTTCCTGCTTGGCATGGGCCACCCTCTCCCTGGTGGTGGCAGCCTCCTGCAGGTACACTTCTCATCTCCTTTCTAGACTGCTCTCTCACCGGGACCCCTGCCCTGCTATGCCTGTTCTGTTCCACCAACACCCAGCTGTGTGTGGTGTCCAGTGCTCCACGTGCTCCATACTTGTCCAGTCCATCGATACATACTTTTTAAATGTTAATATAATTTAATTGTGATTCCATTTAATATGTTAAGTAATGTATTATATACAATAATGATAGTAATAGCAATAATAATAATACACATGACTTGACATTTTATTTATTTTAAATTTCTTTTTAATGTTTCTTTTTGAGAGAGAGAGAGAGACAGAGCATGAGTGGGGGAGGGGCAGAGAGAGAGGCAGACACAGAATCCGAAGCAGGCTCCAGGCTCCAAGCTGTCAGCACAGAGCTGACACAGGACTCGAACCCGTGAGCTGTGAGATCATGACCTGAGCCGAAGTCGGAAGTTCAACTGACTGAGCCACCCAGGCGCCCCCATGGCTCGACATTTTAAAAAGGAGATCAGCGAAAAATATCCCCAACTCTCTTATACTTTGGAAAATACTTTGGCATTATTTTGTAGAGCTAGAGATACTCCTAATCCGTGACCAGTGTCTCAGTATTTTAAATTTTTTTTTTTTTCAACGTTTATTTATTTTTGGGACAGAGAGAGACAGAGCATGAACGGGGGAGGGGCAGAGAGAGAGGGGGACACAGAATCGGAAACAGGCTCCAGGCTCTGAGCCATCAGCCCAGAGCCTGACGCGGGGCTAGAACTCACGGACCGCGAGATCGTGACCTGGCTGAAGTCGGACGCTTAACCGACTGCGCCACCCAGGCGCCCCAATGTCTCAGTATTTTAAAGAAACTCAAGCATGTATACCCATCAGAACAATTATAGCAGCACTGTTGTTTTTAGAGAGAGACAGAGAAAGAGCACACACCTGAGCAGGGAAGGGGCAGAGGGAGAGGGAGAGCAAATCTTAAGCAGGCATCATGCTCAGCGCAGAGCCCGATGCGGGGCTCAATCTCGGGACCGTGAGATCATGAGCTGAGCCGAAATCAAGAGTTAGATGCTTAACCCACTGAGCCACCCAGATGTCCTGCAGCAGTTTTTAATAGCCAAAAACTGGAGAAAAACAAATATCCATTGGCAGTAGAATGAATTGTGGTGTATTTATGGTGAAAAAGGACTAAGTACAGTGATCCCCGCAAACAAACACACACAAAAACGGATGGATCTCACAATATTGAGTGAAAGAATCAAGACCCAAAAGTACTTCCAACTTTATCTGGTTCAGCGGGACTGAATTCTGTGGTTTAGGAATGAATGTATGTGTAAGTGGGAAAACTATATAAAGAACAGCCAAGAGATTATTATTGTAAAAGGCAGGATAGGGGTTACCTCTTGAGAGGGAGAATATATGATTAAAAAGGAGTCCTTGGGGTTTCTGGGATGCTAGCATGTCGGGTTTTGTTTTTGTTTTTACTTAGTGACAGTTACCTGAGTGTGAGGTTTTTTTTTTTTATTTTTTTTATTTTTAAAAAATTTTTTTTTTCAACGTTTATTTATTTTTGGGACAGAGAGAGACAGAGCATGAATGGGGGAGGGTCAGAGAGAGGGAGACACAGAATCGGAAACAGGCTCCAGGCTCCGAGCCATCAGCCCAGAGCCTGACGCGGGGCTCGAACTCACGGACTGCGAGATCGTGACCTGGCTGAAGTCGGACGCCTAACCGACTGCGCCACCCAGGCGCCCCTGAGTGTGAGCTTTTTAATTTGTGGGAGTATATGTATATTTTATGAAGTTTTCTTATGCAATTCACAATTTAAAAATATTTAGATTGCCCGGCTTTTCTACTCTCTAGTCCCCAGCTCCTCTGCTTGGAGGCAGCCAGTCCCATGTGTATGTTCATTCACACACATGCACAGAAAACACACACACACGCATATTTCTTGTTTTGTTTGTTTTAAGCACAACTAGCAGAAATTATGTAATTTTGAAGTAAAAAAGGAACAACCCACAAACATGTAAGCTGTGATTACTGTCCAGTTATGTTTCACTCAACAGGTGGTTAATATGGATGTGTTCTCCCTGCCCCATGTGCCACTTAACCTAATCTAACAGCTGCTCTGTGCAGAGTGGTTCCAAGAGCTTAATTTCATTTAACGCAGTTCTTCTAACAGACCAGTGAGACAGGCGCTGTTATTATCCCCATTTTATAGAGAGGGAAATCGAGGCTGTTGCGTCTGTGCTTCAGGGCTCCCTACATGTCGCAGTGATGGCATTGAGACCTCACCAAGGGTTGTGTCGGGGATGGTCGCCTTGATCTCTAGTCCTGGGCTGTTCTGACAGGCCCCTTTCTCGCTGCAGGTGTCACTGTGCACCCAGGTGGCCCTGGGCATGGAGCACCTGTCCAACAATCGCTTTGTGCACAAGGACCTGGCCGCTCGGAACTGCCTGGTCAGCGCCCAGAGACAGGTGAAGGTGTCGGCCCTGGGACTCAGCAAGGATGTGTACAACAGGTAGAAGGACACCGGTCGGGGTGGTGAGGGCCAGAGGGCAGGTGAGGCTTGGGGGTATGTGGGAAAGCGCTTAGTGTCTGCTTGATCCAAAGCTGGAGGGCTTGGGAGGGGACAGAGTTTCCCCATCCTTTCTCCAAAGGTGTAACAGGCTTCTTAGCCAGTGGGCCACAGGTCCCTGATGCTTGTAAGTTTTCTCTCTATAAAACATTATGAACCTTTTTTATAGCTTTATAACAGTTTATATGTAATTTCACTGTCTGTATGGTTCCCTCTGTAACTTCCTAAGTTCAGTAACTGCTATCTTGAAGCCTAAGACTTGGAGCTCAGCAGCCACAGCCAGAGATTGCTCTGGAATGTGCACTCACTCTATAGCCTCTCCAGGGAACTTCCCCCTGGCTCTGAGTCACCACAGTTCCGTCTGGCTGTTCCTTTAGTCGTGATTGGTTTATCACTAGTAAAGCTCTTAAACTTTTCTTTTCATGTAATATGTTGTTTTTCACATTTTCTTTTAAACAGAAAATGCATATGATTGTTAGCTTTTATTATTTATTTTTTAATTTTTAAAATAATGTTTATTTTTGAGAGAGAGAGAGAGAGACAGAGCATGAGTCGGGGGAGGGGCAGAGAGAGAGGGAGACACAGAATCCGAAGCAGGCTCCAGGCTGTTGGCACAGAGCCCGACGCAGGGCTTGAACCCACAAACCTTAAGATCACGGTCTGAGCCAAAGTCAGATACTTAACCGACTGAGCCGCCCAGGCACCCCCGATTGTTAGCTTTTAAAAACATTAACATTTAGGCAAATTTTGATTCTTAACCAAATTTTTACCCTCAGACCCCACGTGGATGCCTCCAAATTTCATCCAGCACACCCCCCATGCTTTGCATAAATGTTAACCAATTTCTCTGAGGGCCTTGCCTTGATGTAGAAAAATAGGGTTCTAGCCTGGGTATGAGACCCAGACGTGGGCTGAGGTTGGGATCCCAGGCCGTGTTCCCCATTCTACCCAGTGAGCCGGGGAGGCCCCACCCCACCCCTGTGTATGCTTCTTTCCCACAGTGAGTACTACCACTTCCGCCAGGCCTGGGTGCCGCTGCGTTGGATGTCCCCCGAGGCCATCCTGGAGGGCGATTTCTCCACGAAGTCCGACGTTTGGGCCTTTGGCGTGCTGATGTGGGAAGTGTTCACCCATGGAGAGATGCCCCATGGTGGACAGGCAGATGATGAAGTGCTGGCAGGTAGGCAGTTGTGTTTCCAGAGGTTGATTGCAGATGTTCTCCAGGTGGAGAGTTTGCTCAGGGTCCTGGGGCTGACTAAGCCTGCCTCACCTCTCAGGGCTGGTGTTAGCAGGTATACAGGCATGGCCACTCCAGCTGAAAGACTAATTAATATTTATATACTGGTTGGTAAATAGTCTTTGACCCCAGTGCCCAGTCCAGCTACTCTGATGCCTGCCCATTGACCCCACTTCAGTCCTCGTGCATTGCCTGCCTCCCGTGCAGCATGGACCCTCTCCCCACCAGTCAGAGAGACCCGGGGCCAGCGCCAGGGGAATCATCACCTTTGATTGCAAGATACTTCCTGCACACTCCTTGAGTCAGTGCCCACCCACCACTGGCAAGCGCCCCTGACCCTGAGTTGCCCTCATGTGGCTGCTTATGGGAACTGCAGGCCTCGCAGAGTCAGGTGGTTAAACGTTTCGACTAATGCTCCACCGGCCATCTTCCCTACAGACTTGCAGGCTGGGAAGGCGAGACTCCCTCAGCCTGAGGGCTGCCCTTCCAAGCTCTATCGGCTGATGCAGCGCTGCTGGGCCCTCAGCCCCAAGGACCGGCCCTCCTTCAGTGAGATCGCCAACACCTTGGGAGACAACCCGGCAGACAGCAAGCCTTGAGGAAGGAGCCCAGGCAGGCCGTGCCTCAGGATGGTGTGGGCAGGGGAGGACCTCTTGAGGGGCACCCACAGCATGATGGGCAAGATCCCTGTCTTCCTTGTCCCTAGGGGCCCTGCCCTGGGACCACAGGCACTATTAAGGTCTGGGCAGGGCCTGGGCTTTCCTCCTCTTCCTCATCCTCAGCCCTTGGGGAGGCTGATTCAGACCCAGACTGAGTGACCAGGGCCTTGAGCTGGGCAGCGTTCTCTGCCCCCCCCCCCTTCTCCCATCAGGGACAGTATGGGTGCCTCAGGTAACCCCAGTTTCTGGCCTGGGTCTCCTTCCCTTAACCAGGTTCAGTTCTGCCAGTCACCTGCCAACTTGGCCCAGGGAGGGCTAAGCTGGATCTGAGGGGAGTTCTTTAATATACTCAAGTTTCCTGGCTTGTTCTAGTCCACGGGGCCTACCTTGGGGTCTGTGCCAGGATTGTGGAAGATGCACCAGTGAGTCCTCAGCCCGTGGACTTGTGCACGCTGACCCAGACCCATGCCTCCCCCGCACCCTTCTCTCCTTTCCTCATCCTAAGTGCCTGGCAGATGAAGGAGTTTCAGGAGCTTTTGACACTATATAACCCGCCCTTTTTGTATGCACCATGGGCGGCTTTTGTATGTTACTTGCAGCGTGGGGTGGGGGGCATGGGAGGGAGGGGTGGGCCCTGGAGGAGGTGGGGAGGATGGGCCACCCCTGCCTCACACCTGTGTTGTTGTTGTTGTTGTTGTTTGTTTATTTGTTGTTGTTTTTTTTTAACACTCGCTGCTCTCAATAAAGAAGCCTTTTTTACAACCTGCTTCCGATGCTCATTCCATGCCGTTGTCCATGGATGGTGTCCCTTCTTCCGTCACTTATCAGAAGCGGCCACATGCCTTCATGAAGTCTAGTGGGGTTTGGACAGGAATAACCAGTAAACACAGGTCTTTGTCTCTGTTGTAAAACGGATTTAGAATCTGGTTGAGGATGCAAGGCCACCTCTTGTCTGTGTGACCCTGTGTTGCCCTCTGACTGCCAACTACTTATTCTTTGCTGGCTGGCTTAATCCTCATGCTCAGGTGGGGAGGGTAGGAGGCAGGGTGGGGGGACAAGTTAGAACAGGATTGGAGAAGGAATTAATAACAGATTCAGGTCTCTGAGTCCCTTTAAGATTCTAGGGGGGAGATAGAGCAGGTGGAACAGAGCAAAGAACTGGTGCTCGGTGTCTCATTGATGCCCTTGTTGAGGGCCCTCAACTGGTTTCTTGCTCCTTTGTTATTTAGACCTGGTGTCATCAATTTTATTATTATTATTATTATTATTATTATTATTATTATTCCAATAGCTTCAGCCTGGTTCCACATCCCAAAGAAATGAGTCCGTAACTCATTCTTTTTTATTTTTATAATTTGTTTTTTAAGTTTATTTATTTTGGCGTGAGAGAAAGCAAAGGGGAGGGAGAGAATGCCAAGCAGGCTCCATGCTGTCCACACAGAGCCCCATGCGGGACTCGAACTCACAAACTGTGAGATGATGACCTGAGCCGAAACCAAGAGTCAGATGTTGAACCGACTGAGCCAGTCAGGTGCCCTGTAACTCATTCTTAACTCTGAAATGGTCTGGTTCCTTCTGTTTCTCACCAAACTTCTCAATAATGGAAATAATAGCTAATATTTATTGAATACCTGCTTTATACCAATGACTTTGCTAAACACTTAACATGCGTCATTCTCATTTAATCTCTGCAACTACTCTATAGTTGTTGTACTCTATTATCATTCCCCTTTCTCAGATTAGGAAACTGAAGCTCGGGGTGGTCAGGTAGTTTCCCAGAGGTTGCACAGCTAGTGAGTGAGCCACTTATTTGTTGTTATACAGTGTGTCATATCCCTGAGATGTGTTGGAGTAAAAAAAATCTGAGAACAACTTTTCTAGAAGAGTGTTTTTTTTAATGTGGGTTGCAGCCAGCGTTTAAAAAAAAAGTAACAATAGAAATTATTAGAGTACATTGTATATACCTTAAGGGTAAGTATTCTTTTACAAAATTTTGTTGGTAATATTTGATACATGTTTCTACATATTGGATTATGTCAGCCTTTGGGGTGGTGGTGCTGTACAATAAGCCCCAAATCTCAGTTGCTTACAATTTATTTTTCTTGCTCATGGATCTGCAGGTTGGTGAGGTTTGGCTGACCTTGGCTGGACCTAGCCCAGTTGGGCTGGGCTTGGCTCTGGGCTGAAGGTCTGGTGTGGGTCTCCTCTGCTGGCCCTAGAGCAGGCTATCCTGCAGTGACTGGAGCACAAGGGGTCAAGCCAGATCATGCATGCACCTATATCCATGAGTCTGTTAGTGTTTCATCAGCCAAAGCAAGTCACGTGTCAAAACCCAACATCAATCCCAGTAAGAGGTACTGCAAAGTCACGTGGCAAAGGATGTTGGATATCTAATTCCACCACAGGGTGTGAAGAATTGGGAGCAACGATCTAACTCACCACAGGTTATGATGTAAAAATGATTTCTTACTATGGGTTGCACTCCAAAGAACTAGGAAGGTACTACTCTAGAAGGTCAATCACAAACTCCTGGTATCCCTTGACCGCTCGGCTGTGGCTACACTGCTGGCTACGTCTGCCTCTTCAAACTCTCCTCTCTTGACTTTGATGATGGTACTTTAGCTCCACCTTCTCTGACCAGCCTTCTCCAGCTCTGGCTGAGGCTTCCTTCTGTCTGCCCCAGAGCTAGCTGTTCTGGATTCTGTCCTTGGCTTTGCTCTCTTCATGTGCTTACCCTTAGGAATCTCCTCTCACGTCACATGGCTTTAATCAGCCCTTCAGGGCGGACAGTTCTCAGAGCATTAGCTCCAATTCTAGCTTCTGCCTCAAGCTGCAGACACACGCTGTCCATTTCCTACAGGACATTTCCCACTGCCTGCTTCCCTGGGCCCTAACTGAACTTCTCTCTCTCACAAACCTGCTTCTTCAGCCAAGTTCTCTTTTTCCATCAATGGTACCAATGTTTGGAGAATAGTCACCCTTACTCAGTCCATTGTGAGCCCTCCTCTATATGGACCCCCTTCTCTGTCCAAGATCCATTTATTCTACCTCTACCCGGTTTTCTTTCTTCACTTAATTGTAAGAGAAAAAAAAATTATTAAAAAATAATACTTGTCATGGAAGAAGGCAAATGGTACAGACTTGTATAAAGCAAAAAACACTCCTCTCTCTCCAACCCTGCTCTCCAGTGGTGAGTACCAGTAGTCTCTGGAGTGTGGCTTTCCAGACTTTTCCTGGGCACACTGAGTCACAACCTCTTTTCCATTCAATTCTCTCTAATGCTGCAATCACAACTGAGACTTGTTCTCCGTGAAGAGCCCTTGCATAAAGGTTAATTCCAAATGCAAACACTTTCAGAGTGGTAATTTTTTTTTTCTTCTGGTGATAGTAATTGTTTAAAATACTTATTTAGAGAGAAAGAGCATGAGCAGGGGAGGGGCAGAGAGAGAGAATCCCAAGCAGGCTCTGCACTGACAGCAGTGATGTGGGGCTCAATCTCATGATTTGTGAGATCATGACCTGAGCCAAAATCAAGAGTTGGACACATGAGGTGCCTGGGTGGGTCAGTTGGTTGAGTGTTCAACTTTGGCTCAGGTCATGATCTCATGGTCTGTGGGTTCCAGCCCCACATTGGGCTCTGTGCTGACAGCTCAGAGCCTGGAGCCTGCTTCAGATTCTGTGTCTCCCTCTCTGCCCCTCCACCACTCTCTCTCTCTCTCTCTCTCTCTCTCTCTCTCTCTCTCTCAAAAATAAACATTAAAAAAAAATTAAGAGTCAGGCACTTAATCAACTGAGACACCTGGGCACCTCTGGTGATAATAATTTTTAAAAGATATCCTTAATTTTTGTTCTGATATTTGGGTGATAAAAATCAGGAGAACGAAATAAAGGTCAATGTGGGAATGGTGTGGTAAGTGGGGCATCTGGCTGGAATTCTGATGCCCCTCTGGAGGTCCTTCATGGTCAGGGGTAGACATGAGCGCCCATATTCCAAGGGGTTACTGTGATACAGGCCTTATCAGAGAAGCACCAAACTCACATTCCAGAGAGGCCAGGCGGGGCACTTATCTGAGCTCAGTGAGCTGTGTGGAGTCTATAGTGAGCCTGACAGCAGAAGCCTCTGCTGTGGCCACCACTCAATTCAGCTCCAGACTATAGTGCTCTTGTGAGTGCATAGACTAGGAGTTGCTAAAAATTCTAATTGAGAGAATGCAGATTTTTATGTAAAATGAAGCCATCCCAATCAGGCAAAGGAGCTGGGGCACTAATGCTCGTGTGCAATGGCCCAGGGATTGGGTGAAGTGGGAGAGGTCAATCTATTTGAAGGGAAGCTAAGAACTGTGCTCATTCCACACCATACCCCATGGATGTGGCAGACAGTAGTTGTCCTCTGGAGTGCCACTGCTAAGGGTTATCAACCATGCGTGTGTCTAAACTAGGGGTCTCAAACACAAAAGTCTTTAGAAGTCAGGCAAGAATGAAAGCCCAGGGCTGTGGTTCTATGACTGTACTGCTCAGGCAAATCACAGGCCCAAGCACCGTTAGTGGCCCCTAAAGCTCTTCTGGAACCTATTTATGTATTTGACCTGTTCTTCCTCTTGAACTAACACATTCCATATGTTAAACTACCTGTTATGTAGAGTAAATTAGGGGGGAAAAAAACCTCTTTGAAACTATTGGGAAATGGGGAAGAGTAGGAGCTCTTAATTCCTTCCTGTAGTTAGGGGTTTGATGAGTGTGTGTATACGCACACACAATTAGGTCTCACAGATCACTTGAACATACTTTGTTTCAGTATTCTCAGTCTTTGGACTGTGACTCACAGTAAGACATGCAATTGACATCATCACCAAGTACACGCACATATTGAGCCATATGAAATCGACAATATGCTACCCTCTTGATCTATAAAATGGCAGTTTTACATGGTTCAACCTAACAATAATGCAAACAAAAGTTTCATGCAAAAATATTTGCCCTTGCTTTTTGTGGTACTCATTTATTATTTTAAATGCTGGTTGCAGTACACTAAATTCATTTCATTACCACTACCACTAATGGATCAAACAAAACCAACCACTTTATTTAGTCTTCACAAAAATTTTTAAGGAAAGGAAATATCACTCTCCCATCCCCTTCAAAACAACCCGATGTTTATTCCAGGGAGGAATCGATTACCCCAGGAGCTCCTATTAACTGACCACTTACTCTATGCTTTAGCCTTTATCTCATGTAATTTGCATTAAGAACCTCAGCGGATGGGTACCAACAATGAGGAATATGATGGAGTTTGGAGAGGTCGAACCCTTATTTCCAGGCGCAGGCTAGAAAGGGGCTGATTCCAGATTTGAGTAATTTCTGTAACTGCAAAGCCCAAGCAAGATATTTTCACGGCCTTGGAGCTGAGATCCAGACCCAAACCCTGAACCTGGGCTTTGCAGCGCTGCAGTTCTAACCGCCCACCCCTTCATGGGCTTTCCATAGAAGGGGTAAGGGTGTGTGTGTGTGTGTGTGTGTGTGTGTGTGTGTGTGTGTGTGTGTGCGCGCGCGCGCGTGTGCGTTTGTGTGCGCGGGCGCGTGTGTGTGCGCGAGCGCATGCTGCCTGGCTGGCTTATTTGCTGAAACTTTCTGTCTGGCTCTACTTTTTCCCAGGCCTTTGCACTGGCGGTAGGGTGGGCTTTATCCCCGGGACAACCCCCTCCCCCAGCCCAGCCCGCAGCTGGAAGTCTTCACTGATCTTCATCTCGTCTCCCTGCCCCCTTCGGGGACTGGGAGGCCAACTGTCTCCCCCCGGTCTTTTCCAGATGTATGTCTGCCAAAGATCCCTCCAGTATAGAGGATGATGAATGAGGACCGGGGAGCCGGCCTGGTGGGAAAGTGTCGTTGCCTGGAAAAGAGAGGGAAAGGGAAAGGAAGTCGGGGGGAGGGGAAGGGTTGGAGCGGCGGGGAAGCGACAAGTCTGGACGCCAGGGACCCAAGCCTCCTCGGCTCAGCCAGTAAAGTTTGCCTCCCTGAGGAAGGCGTGGGGAAGTGCTCCTATCCCTGCACTCCCTTGGAATTTGGGCTGCATTATATCATTTACTGCAACACGCACAATCCACTCAGGAACTACCCCAGTGTTTGCTTCCAGCCCTTCTAATGCCGGGTTGCTAGTGCTGCTCGCATTTCTCCGTGGGACTGAACTCCGGTCCACTCCCAGGCTTCCCCTCAGCAGGTTCCTCCCAATTCTCTCCACCATTCTCCGGTCAGGGGGGCGGAGTCGTACCTCCTCTCCTGTTCCTTTAAGAGGCGTCGGCTCCTCCCCTTTCGGAGTCGCCGTCTGACGCGGGATGACAGCAGCGAGTTCGGTATGTCTATGCAAATAAGCGCTCCCTGTGGGCCAATGGGGAGCGGAGGTGCCGGAACCACGGACCAATGCGGCGGGGGCGCAGGGGCTCACCATATAAGGAGCGGCCTCGCCATAAAAGGAAACATTGTATCTCTTTATATGGGGGGAAGGGTCGGGGGATCCCTCCGCCGCCAGCGCGTGGTCCCGGCCCCCTCCACCCGCCGTCTCGGCCGCGGCCAGCAGCCCCTGCCCCCCGGGGGACGCTGACGGCCGCCGGGCGCGCCGCCCTAGCATACGGACAGGGGGCGCTCCGAGCGGCCTGGGGCAACCCGGGCCACAGGGGCAGGAAAGTGAGGGCCCAGGTCGGCCCGGGCGTGCAGGGGCCCCGGGTTCGCAGCGGCGGCGGCGGCGGCAGCGATAGAGGCTCTAGCAGCAGCGGGAGTGCCGGGTTGAGCCGGGAAGCCGATGGCGGCGGCGGCGGCGGCTCCGATTCCTCGCTGACTGCCCGTCCGCCCTCCTGCATTGAGCGCCATGTTACCGAGCCAAGCTGGGGCCGCGGCGGCGCTGGGCCGGGGCTCGGCCCTGGGGGGCAGCCTGAACCGGACCCCGACGGGGCGGCCGGGAGGTGGCGGCGGCGGCGGCGGCGGGACTCGCGGGGCTAACGGGGGCCGGGTTCCCGGGAACGGCGCGGGGCTCGGGCCGGGCCGCCTCGAGAGGGAGGCTGCAGCAGCAGCGACAACCACCCCGGCGCCCACCGCGGGGGCCCTCTACAGCGGCAGCGAGGGCGACTCGGAGTCGGGTGAGGAGGAGGAGCTGGGCGCGGAGCGGCGCGGCCTGAAGCGGAGCCTGAGCGAGATGGAGCTCGGCGTGGTGGTCGGTGGGCCCGAGGCGGCGGCGGCGGCCACCGGCGGCTATGGGCCGGTGAGCGGCGCGGTGAGCGGGGCCAAGCCGGGTAAGAAGACTCGGGGCCGCGTGAAGATCAAGATGGAGTTCATCGACAACAAACTGCGGCGCTACACGACCTTCAGCAAGAGGAAGACGGGCATCATGAAGAAGGTACCGGGCCGGGAGGCTGGCCGGCCACAGGGGACACGGAGGGTGGGGACGCGCAGGGGGAGCCCGGGAGGAAGGCAGAGCCGAGGCGGAGGTGAGAGGCGGCGAGTCTGCAGGAGCTGTGTGGGAGGGTATAGCTGTTACCCCAGGAGGGCGAGAGGGGAGGGGCGCTAAGGAAATGTGGGGAGAGGGGGAGATGCCGCGAACGTCCAGAGAAGAGGGGAAAGGCGCCGAGGTGGGAGTGACGGGCGCGAGAGAGGAACGGGGCCCTTGCGGAGTGAAGGGGTGAAGAGTGGTTGTGGGAAGCTTGGAGGCTGCTTGGAAGGTGGTTAATGAGACGCGGGGGTCACTAGATCCAATGCCTTCTGGTGTTCGGGGGAGGGTGCTGGAAAAGCAGGGGGCCAAGGGAAGGTATGGAGGTGAAGAGGCTGAAGCTCTGTAACAACAATGAGCCAGCATGTGTGGGAAGAAGGTGGGCACCACAAGAGTAGTGCTGGCTGGAAGGACTGACAGGTATGATGACCCAATGGGGCTTAAGAGCCCCAGGTAAGGGAGCAAAGCAGGAGAACTGATGCTGCCCTGAGCAGCAGGGACTGAGTCGAGCGATGGCCATGTGTCTTCCTTTGCATCCACTGGAAACCTGCACACTCCCTGCAGGACAGACTTCAGAACCATCTGCCTTTGGGACAAGTGGTGTTTCCAGCCCTAGGGAGAATCTGTGCATGGAGTTTGGGGGAAGGCAGGGAGGTTTGCAGAGGTACCTAGAAATTCTTCCTCTTCCAGCCAGCAATCCAGTCAATAGGGATGAGGAAAGGAACCGTCTTGAGGTGTAGAAGATATGGGAAGGGATGGAAGCAGGTGAACTGGGAAACAAGCTAGAACCCTGGGGACATTGGATAGTGTTTATTTCTGTCCCCTATAGAAACCAGAGCTGCTTCCAAGGTGGGTTGTGGAACTTTTGGGAGAGTAAGGACACCATTCATGGGGCCACCCTTGGTTTCCTTCCTGGGCTCATGGAAGGGTGGTAGCTGCTAATCTAGCCCCCGTCTCCTCTCGCATCATTCCAGATGCCACTGCATCAAGACAAAGAAAGAAAAACGGGGGTAGCACAGTATTATAGGGCAGAAGGACAAATGGCAACAGGTTAGGGCTTGTGTGGTTTCTGGGAAGAAACATGGGACAGCTTAGAACTTACTTGGCGTGGCCCCTTATCCCTAATGCGACTTACAGTGTGATAGCAACTTCAGTTTGGTTCCTGTGACAGTGAAGAGTGGGTGACAGCGAAGAGTGGGTGACAGCCCTCTCTCCATGAGGCTCTTGGCACTAAGCTGTAGTCAGGAGCAGCTACCTGACCCCTGCCACCCCAAGTCCCCTGAGGTTATATATTCTGTCACTAGGGGGCTGTGACTGTGCCTGAGGTATCTGCAGGTCAGTGGCTGCTCCTCAAAGGAGGAGCATGGTAGTTCTTCTGCTCTCCAGCTCACTTCCAGATATCTTGATAGACCCTTTCCCTGCCCCAGTCGTTGGAGAGGAAGGTCCCTGGGGGGCGGAGGGGGGCAGACAGGGGGTTGAGATCACTGTGTATTTCTTTTCTTCCCTACTTCCCAAGGAAGGTAGAGAGAAATAGTTTGGCTGACCTACCCATCTCCTCCCCCCTACCCCCAGGCCTATGAGCTGTCCACGCTGACAGGGACACAGGTGCTGTTGCTGGTGGCCAGTGAAACAGGCCATGTGTATACCTTTGCCACCCGCAAACTGCAGCCAATGATCACCAGTGAGACTGGCAAGGCACTGATTCAGACCTGCCTCAACTCGCCAGACTCTCCACCCCGTTCAGACCCCACCACAGACCAGAGAATGAGTGCCACGGGCTTTGAAGAGACAGACCTCACCTACCAGGTGTCGGAGTCCGACAGCAGTGGGGAGACCAAGGTGTGTTTGGGTCGCCTGAGGGGAAGGAAGGGGAGGGACTTCACCGGCAGAGAGGGGAGGGGGTCCCCGTCTCTCCCTCACTCAGGATAGGTGCCCACCGAGGTGGGATGGAGCCGGGTTAGTGCCCCTCATCCTAGGGGACAGGTGTCCATCCTCGCCATCCTGACAGGAGGCCGGCCCCCTAGATAAGCGGGCGGCCTCCGTGCCCTTATAAGGCCGGCTCCGGCTCCAGGCCGGCCTCCCGCCTGCAGCCCGCCCGCCTGGCAGGGCCCTTGCATTCCTCCCGCCAGCTGTCTCCCTGCTGGGGGCGGGGGCGTAGCTTAGCCCTGCCCTCGCAGCAGGCTGAGTTGCCAGGGAGTAGGAAGGAAGCACTCGTGGGCTCCAGGGTCCTGGGAACCCAGCACTGTCGACAGGCGGGCTCGTTGACTGGGCTGGAGACTACCTTACTAGCCAGCCGCCTACCTCTTCAGGATGTCCGGGCCTGGGCACGTTTAGGGAGTGTATTCGCTGCTGCTAGGGATGCTGGCCCTAGTTACGCCTCCCCCTTCCTCTTCCCGGTAAGGAGAGGGGGCGGGGCTTCCTCCATTGCTCCTCTGGGGAGCCCCACCTTACGGGTGGCCCTTCACTAAGTGGCCAATCGGAGGAAGCGGCACTGTTTGCCTTAGCAACGCCTTCGCCAATCAGAGGCTTCGAGCTCAGCTGCCTAGCAAACATCCCGCACTGACCCACCCCCAGTGTTTGAACCCCCTCAGTTCTCTGGGCTTGGTTCTCAGTTTGTGGCTTCCTCCTTCCCCTTCTAAGAACAAAGGCTCGCTGAGGGGAGGGTCAGTGCTCCGGGATACCCCCTCTTACTGGCATATCATCTGTAATTGCAAACTCTTGAAGCAGTAGGGCTCATTTATTCCCAGGGAACTTTGTTGGAGGAATAAATTCCTTTGGTAGTTTAATAGGAGCGCCTATTTAATAGGGGCTCAGTCGGTTGAGCATGGGACTCTTAATTTCAGCCCAGGTCACGATCTCCTGGTTAGTGAGATAAAGCTCTGCCTCAGGCTTCGGGCTGACAACCTGCTTGGGATTCTCTCTCTCTGCCCTTCCCCCATGTGCAAACGTGCTCTCTCAAAATAAATAAAAAAACATAAAAATAATAATCAATTATGGATTTAAAAAATTCCATTGATAGTTTAAATCGTTAAGTATTTGGCATGAGTGCTTAATTGCCAAACACCCAAGATCTCTCTGAAACCCTAAATTCCCTGAAAAACTCTTGTCCCTATCTCAGAAGCCTGGCAAATCAGAGCTGGAAAGATTTTTTAAATGACATAGTAGCCCAGCCCCCTCATGTTTACAGAAGAGGAGAACTGAGGCTCGGAAAGAGGAAGTGATTTCCCCAGGGTCACATAGATGATCACTGCCAGAGCCGGGAATAGACCCCTGTGTCCTAGTCCCCCAGCCGATGTGATTTACCACAGTCCACTGGGGCAGAGAATTCAGGGAATTGGGATGGTATCATCAGCAGAGCAGCAAATACTTACTGCTCTTTTTAGGTGTCAGGAACTTTATGTGTGTTAACCTATTCATCTTCACAACACCTATGGGGGTAGGTCTTCTCCTTTTACAGATAGGAAACTGAAGTTCAGCAGCTCAGTAACTTGCCCAGGGGTCACATAGCAGGTAAATGGCAGAGCTGGGGTTTGAACCCAAGTTCACTGGTTCCAGTCTGGGTTGTGTCACGCCACACAAAGCCTCTGCAGGGGCAGGGTCCGGTAGAAGCTCACTGCTGCATCTTTCCTCTGGGTGTAGGACACACCGAAACCCGCGTTCACAGTCACCAACCTGCCGGGTACCACCTCCACCATCCAAACAGCACCCAGCACCTCTACCACCATGCAAGTCAGCAGCGGCCCCTCCTTCCCCATCACGAACTACCTGGCACCAGTGTCTGCTAGCGTCAGCCCCAGCGCTGTCAGCAGTGCCAACGGGACTGTGCTGAAGAGTACAGGCAGTGGCCCTGTCTCCTCCGGAGGCCTCATGCAGCTGCCTACCAGCTTCACCCTCATGCCCGGTGAGTCAAGTCACAAGGGGCAAACTGAGCGTGCCAAGAGTGGGTTTAGGGCTGGCACAAGGAGAACCTCTTTCCCTGCTAGAAGGAGGGTGGGCAGGGGCCAGAGCCTGAGAGAAGCCTCCTATGTCCCACTGGTAGGCACACCCTTCCCCACTGGGACCCCTATTATCCTTGTCAATAAGTTTCAACCATACTCTCTGGCCTTGTCTAGCTAGCCCAGCCCTGTGTCCCCCACTGCCACAGGGACCACAGACATTCCACCACTTCCCTACCTTGAGTGGAGGATAGGTCATGTCCTTGATGGTTCAGTGCTAGCTCCTATGTCAACCAAGGAGGCAGAGGCAAGGCCTGGGGTGGGAGGAGGAGGGAAGGGCATGAGCAGAGGGCAGAAACCCATGGAGACAAGATTCAGGACACAAAGGGCCTCTTTAGTTCCCAGGAAAGATAGCTATGGGAGTTGGGGAGCAGTGTGCCAGACCCTGGGCCTAGGGTTGTTTGTGGGTGCTTGGTGCAGGTGGTGGATGGGTAGGACAGAACATGAGTAAGTCTCTGTGTCTCATAGGTGGGGCAGTGGCCCAGCAGGTCCCAGTGCAGGCCATTCAGGTGCACCAGGCCCCACAGCAAGCGTCTCCCTCTCGCGACAGCAGCACAGACCTCACGCAGACCTCCTCCAGCGGGACAGGTATAGCTCAAAACTCTCACCTCCCTGCCCTGCCTCATTCATGAGGCCTAGCAGCAAAGTGCCCAGCAATATCCCTCTTATAACTAAGGTCTGAGAATTTCTTAATGTGGAGATGGAGGCATTTGGCTTAACCCTTATTCTAATCCTTATGGGAAAGTCAGGTGAGGATGGCTGGGTTTGGAATCCTGCCCTGTGGTTAGGGCTATGGATTCCAGGAAGAAATTAGGGAGCATTGAGGCCACACTTCTCTTCATTCAGATGAGAAGCTAGAGGCCCAGAAAGAAGTTACTTGCCCAAAGACACAAGTTTGCTTAATTATCAGGAAAGATTTATAAAGCAGTTTCCTTGTGGGAGGGTATCCTAGGTTCTGAGTAGCTGTAATTCCTCTTGGTGTCTCTAGTCATTTCAGAAATGATGAGACACTTTCAAAATAAAATTAATTTTAGGTTCTTGTTAGTGACAGTCTTGTTACACAAGGTGTGGTCTATGGACAGAAGCCTAGCATCATCTGGGAGCTTGATAGAAATGCAGACTCTTAAGTCTTACCCCAAACCTACTGAATTAGAATCTGCTTTTTAACAAGATCCCAGGTGACCTTATGCACGTTAACGTTTGATGTTTAAAAGATGAGTTTGTTAGCCACACGTTTAGAAAGAGGGAGAAGTGAGAACAAATAAAAATGGGATGATGGAACCCCCTGAAAAGGGAGTATGTGAGTTTCCTTAGAGTGGGTCAGTCATTGTAATCTTTGTTTTTCCCAGGGCCTTAGGGTCTTGGAACAAAGAATTCAGCAGATAGACAACTGAATGGTACAATGTGATAGGATACAATTAAAGGTTGGTGCTCTTGTGTTCAAGAAAAAAATAAGGCTTTTCTTAGTTGATGAAAGGGAGCAGAGGAATGAGTCTTCTCCCACTTCTGACCTGGGAAGTGGCATGAGGGCTCTGGAGTCCTGGAATTCCTGGGAGTGGGATGGGGGCCAGTGCCAACCTCACAGATGTGTGTCTGTGTTTGCCAGTGACATTGCCCGCCACCATCATGACGTCATCCGTGCCCACAACTGTGGGCGGCCACATGATGTACCCTAGTCCCCATGCGGTGATGTATGCACCCACCTCGGGCTTGGCTGATGGCAGCCTCACCGTGCTCAATGCCTTCTCCCAGGCGCCATCCACCATGCAGGTGTCCCACAGCCAGGTCCAGGAACAAGGTGAGTTGTGGGGTGGGGCTGAGAAAAGGAGGACCATTTCCTCCCTTATATACCTACATACTCAAATGGTCCCCCACACATACACCTAGATGTACACATTCACATACACGAACTAGGATGTCCACACATATACCTACACACACACACACACACACGGATGCTTGCACATATATTTTGACACCCATAGCTGTTCACTAGGCTACATGTGCACACTTGAAAACGCATACCTACATGCACACATGGACACGGACACATTTGGACACTCACCTTTGGGCATGTACGTCTGAGACTTACCGGGGCACTTGTGCATTTATCATCACTTCTCCGATAATCTGGAAGTTTCACTTGAGCAGGCGATTTGAGTATCTTTTGTGGTTTCCCACTGCAGGTGGTGTCCCCCAGGTGTTCCTGACGGCACCATCTGGGACAGTGCAGATCCCTGTTTCTGCAGTTCAGCTTCACCAGGTAGGTGGGGGGCACCCTTCACCCCATGCCAGCCAGCCAGCCAGCCATTTCTTTATCTTGACCTTGGGGATTCAATTTACCTATTGGTCAAAGCCAAGATCCCTAGTCAGGAGGCCTGTTTTCCTGGTCAGGCCTGTGGTGGACAGGCAGGCAAGCAGTGGGAGCTTCCCCTGGCTGGTCCCTCTTCCTTACACATCCTTTTCCCTCCAGATGGCTGTGATAGGGCAGCAGGCTGGGAGCAGCAGCAACCTCACCGAGTTACAGGTGGTGAACCTGGACGCCGCCCACAGCACCAAGAGTGACTGATCCGCCCTGCCGCCCTGGACAGATGGCCCAAGGGATGGCACCACTTATTTATTGTTGCCTTTTCACGTTTTCTTTACACACACGTTGACGGGCCGCAGGAGGGAGGCAGGGAGGAGGAGTGGGCAGCCACGGGACTGAGCCCTCTCACTCCAGCCAAAGAAATGGGCCAGCCTGCCCTCCACCCCGTCCTCCCTCACCCTCCCCTCCTAGCTCCACCTCCCATTTTCTGTTGATGGTGGGGCTGTCCTCCCTCCTCAGACTCCCCTTGCCAGCTTGGCTCCATGTTTGCCATGAGTATTAGCTTATCCAATGGGACCGTGCCCCACCTTCCCACACACAGGCCTCTGTGGGACTAGGCACCGTGTTCCCCCCTGAGGAAGCAGTTGGGGTCCTCTCCCAGCCTTGCTGACTCTGTGTCAGCCCTGTGTCTGTCACAGGCTGGACAAAAAGAGCCCTACCCCTGCCCCTCAGGGAGCCACCTGGGGAGATGGGGCTTCTTCCCTCACGCTGCCGCCCCGTTGTCTCTGCAGCTCCTGAGAACTGGGCCTGTGCACAGAGCAGGTTTCTGGGGCCATCTGCCCTGCCCTGCCCTGCCTTGCCAATCCCCTTGGGACTCCAGGGACTCCCAGGTTGGAGGGAACCACCAGTGTTCCCTCTCACCCTGTCTTCCCCCCCTCTCCTCCCAGCTGCTTTACTTAAAGTTGATTTTGAACTTTTTATTTGAGGAGACGAAGTGAAAACAAATCTATAAATATATATTTTTAAAATATTTAAACTTTTTTTTATGGCGTTTTTCTCGTCCCCCTCCCTCCCCAAGCTCCCCTTCCCTGGGGAGCCCTGGGGCTCCCCGGAACTGGCTGGGCCTCTGGGGACAGAGCCACCCCATGAGCTCGGGGCCCACCAGTGTGTAGGGGAGATTCTGGGATTGCCCGGTCCTGGGTTGTTTCCAGGAGAAAACCGGGGGAGGGGCCCTCAGGCCATGCCCCAACGGGGTGGGGAGGGTGACCCACAGCCCTGGGTCTCTTTTTCCCCTTTAGGGCTGTTGCAAGGGAGAGGGAAGAGGGAGACCAAATGTGGGGGCGGGGGTGGGAGGGTGTCAGGTAGAGGCAACTGACTTCATTTGTGCCACACACATGGGCATTGCAGCCTTGCGCTCCCCCAGGCCTGCAGCTGCCTGGGGCCCAAGTTGCAGTGAGCAGGGTGGGGTCTGGGAGGGGGTGAGAGGCAGGAATGGGGGGCAGAAGAAACGGGAGCAGCTCTTGGGCTGAGTATAGAGGTAGGGGAGCTAGAAATGGGCAGCTCTCCCAGGGAGTGAGCAGCTACTGTAACTTTTTTAAATTAAGACAAAAAGCCTTGAAGAAAATGACTTTATTTTTCTAAGTGTAACCTCAGTATTTATGTAATTTGTACAGGGGCCGTGCCCTACCCCACTCTGCCCGCTACGGGGTAGACCTTGAGGATGGGCCAGCATAGGGGGAGGGTCTTTTACCCTGTGTCAGAGCCTACCTTCAACCCCTATATCCAGAAAGGGAGCTTTTTTTCAGAACAGGGCAGCAGTTGGGGTGGAGTTTTATTAACCCCTGTGACTGCCTTCAGGAAGAACAATCCTGCTTCTGTGATTAGGTGAAGGGGTGGGGGAAGTTTTTGTGCACAGCCTAGTTATCAAGGGGATGATTTGCCGACATGTTTGAGAACCCCTGTAACCTCTAACCCCCATTGCTGTCTTGCCCCAGTTTGGGGTACCAAGATGGAAGTCACCATTCTGGGCTTTCTCCTGGAGATAGCTGGGGTTTATGGGTGGCTTACAAGGCTGGGGCATGGCAAATCAGGGGCCAGAGATTGGGGGAGCTTGGGACTCAGGTCTGTAACTGCCCAGCCCCCTTTCTCTGCTCTTGTTTCACTCCACGATCGTTCACTCACTCCCCACTCCCCCACCCAGGGAAGGAGACTGATGAATTCCTCCTCTCCTTCTCACGAAAGACAGACCCAGTGAGTGAATCAGGCAAAGTGCTTATAATGTGTGTTGTGTGAGCGTGGCCTTGGGAGAACATGTGTGCGTCAGGGATGAGGTGGCATTTATATGTGCAGCAACCCTTGGTGTTTCCCTTCCTTGGTGGCTCTGGAGTGCGTGTGTGTATGTGCGTGCGCGTGTGCATGTGTGTGTGCCTGAGTGTGTGTGTGGGTGTGTGTGTGTATGAATGTGGAGTGTGTATGTAAGTGGTTTCTACTTCCCCTGGGATGCTGACCCAGGAATAGTGGACATGGTCACAGTCCTATGTACAGAGCTTTCTTTTGTATTAAAAAAATACTCTTTCAATAAATGTATCATTTTTGTGCACAGACAGTGGGGTCTTTGCCTCCGTTTCTCCGTGTAGGGAGGGAGGGAAGAATGAAAAGGAATCAAACTCTAAACGTTGTTCTGAGATGCAAGCCTGGCTGCTTGATGAGAACAAGGGCAAAGCTAAGGGGAGCTTTGGGCTGTATAACCCTGCGGCTTAATCTAAGGAACATTTCGGGGAGCTGGAGCCTTTATCTTTGTGCATGGTTTTGTTAGGTGTTTAGGCCAACACACAGATGAGCCATA